GGGTTCGATCGACAGTTGTTCAAAGAACCCGCCAAAGTCGGAACTACGGGTAGCTTTGGAAAGCAGAATCGCATTTCCGCTAAGGAGGGACAACGGGGGCACACTACCCCTAAAACCTCTGACTTGGGAAACCGGGGGTCGAACCCACCGGACAGCTGAGAATTCAGCCAGTTTTTGTCATATCACAAACTCCCTCCGAGCCTCTTTGAACAAGGCTTTCACCAGTCCAGAAACGCGGCCGAAGACTAGTTGCAAAGACCCAACAAGCCTTCGGGCAACTTTGCGGAGTATTCCGGTTTTTTGGCGCGGCTTGAAGCGGCTTAACAGACCCCTCTTGCCTCGTCCCACAAGGTTTGAAGCAGTCCCGTGCCTGCGACGGCACCAGCGTTTCCATCTCGCACCGGCCGCACCTGAGGGTTCGCCAAAGGTGCGTGGCACATGTGGGTCAAAATTTGACAGGATATGGACCGGTTTTGAAGTCCTTGTTTCCATTTACCAAAATCCCATTTTGGGGTTACCCCATTTTTGACCACCACAGCCACATCTACTCCAATCTGTTCAAACCCATCTAAACAAGAAAGCAACTGGGGGAAGGTGTAATTTCCTTGCTCGAGCTTCGGGAACTTTCTCAAACAAAAACATCATATGGAGGCCATTCTAAGGTGCCTACAAGACAGGCCCTGATAGTCACTACATATCATACTCGTTCCACTGGAGCCCAAACCCTTCAAAATCGATCCTTCAACTTTCTCCTATACTCAGTTTGGCACCCCCCAGTGAAAGGTTGATAGTTGATCGTCTCCAACTTAAAGGCTCAGGCCCACATTTTGCCAACCGTTTTGCCCGAAGACGGCACAGGCCCCTCTGCCATACATCCACGTTTGGCACGTCGAAGAAGCTCAAAGAAGCCTCTCCTAAACGAACCCGGTACCAAATCACAAAGAAGGTGTGCCAGGGGCTTTTGACCTGCTCTCTGGGACATGGATCCCCGCATGGCTGGTTCTTCTGGCTTCCATTGAAACACCGAATTACACAATCGAACCTTATCCACGAACCCAAAACAAGGAATCCCTATGATCGGGACTTTGGTTGTGTGCCGTTTTTCCGCAGACCCATGGCTATGTCAACTGGCTGAGCAGAAGCTATTCAAGGGTCATTGAAAAACCTTTTCACTTTGTACAGGGCCACGTCGTGGCTTCGTAGGGGGATCGAAAATGCTTAGCCCAAACAGTCTCTTAGTCTCTTGCTCTTCAGATCGAGTGGATTAAAAAAAGAGGCCTGGAACTTTGTATTTGCCACTCAAATGGTCTTCCCCCCCAAAAAATGAAGCCCGAAACGTAACTTAGGGAGACTCAGTCTCTCCATCTCTGCTCGCCTGGGACGTGCAGACCCCTGGCACAGAGAGGCGCTCGAGTACTTGGCATTGGATCAAAAAACACACAAAGGATCGACTCCAATACGTCGCATCCAAGCCACAAGCCCAGCGAACACAGGCGTCCAAACTCATGCAGACAATGGTCAACAACCCCCTCCCAGTTCGTTGTCCAATTCACAAAAGGGTGCATGACCAACGCTAGATTCCAAAGAACCCAGCATGACGTCCCTTCAAATGAGGTACAACCCCCAAGATGGCCAATGATGACATTGCACGCTGCTCACTTAAAGAGACGCATCCCGGTATCACCCAGACCAATGCTTTGCACACAAGGTACTGCAGAACTGGGTAAGCGCCATGCGAACGACAGAAAGCGAAGTTTGTAAAGCACACACAACAGGCCGCCTGATAAGGTTGCCTCGACGAATGGAGTTGCCAACCACCTCTCCGGAAGTTGCTCCACTGGATGGTTAGGCCGTGGTATCTGAAGAAGACATGGCAGTGCAGAATTTCTTTTGGCGCTAAACACAACGCCCACCTTGACACACACGCCACATTGATCAAATGCCTGCTGGTTTGGGTCAAAAATAAACCACCAAGGGACCGCAGGTCTTAGTCCATGTTTCCTTCTACCAGGGTTCCATTTTGGGTACCTATTTTTGACCCACAGCCATTTGGAGTACATGCAATTCCGAGATCTGTCCATAGCTTGGAGACGTTGAAGGGCACCTTGAAGGTTCTGTGCTGTCAAATCAAGCGGCGACCACAAAGGACCTGGGCACTTGGTAAGTCGCCTGGTTCTTTTGAGTCCTGTCACAAGTGTTGCTCAAAGTTCCATGGCAAAATTGGAAAGAGCGAAGGCGCTTCTTTTTTCCTACTCCGAAGCAGTTGGAGAAACTCTGTGTCACACAGACTGAACCAACATAACACTGATTGCAGGCCTTGCAACTGACGTACACTGCGCATGCATTGAATTCGCGGGCGGGAAAAGAGTGAAAGGCATTGATCAAACCCGAACAAATACTGTTCTCCCAATCAGTCTGGCATATTCCCTTGTATCTCACCCACAAACAAATATATATACTAACTTCAGGGAGCCCAAAAGGATCATGACCGCTTCGAAGGATCTTTAGCTTTGTTCAGGGTGGATGTTTGATCCCCGCTTGTATTCTCTAGATGGGGAACTGAAGCAGGACCAAGCTTTTTGCTGAAGGGATGCGGTTCAAAGGCCCAACCAATTGACCAAGGTCATTGTGAAAGTCATTCTGGATATTTCGGTCGAACCAATCCACCAGTGCGCTAAAAGCTTCTTCTCAAGGCCTTGCTCCATTCCCGAAAATGCAGACATCTCGGTACGGGATGCGCAGATGGAGCACGCGTTTTTCAGTTGCCCACAGAAACAAAATCAAATCGAAGACCAGTCGGGTTGCCATGCACAAAGTAGATTGGGGGGGGCTTCAACAAGTGCTCATTGGCTGAGTGGATGGCCCAAAAAAAGTCCAAACTTTATATTTACCACTAAAATGGTCTTTCCAAAAAGTTTAAAGTTCATGAACTCAGGAAGTGAGGGATTGGGGGGGGCTTCAACAAGTGTGTCGGTCTCTTCCGCTTCAGTGTTGACACCTTCCCTTGAGCCCGAAAGCCCAGATGGTGGGAAAAAATGGACGCGTGGAGGGTTGATCATTGGCTGGAAGCCACTGGGAAATGGTCGTGCAAAAAAAACTTGGCCTGGTAAATGGACATAAGCACTCAACCTGCGGTTTTTTGGTGGGTGAAGTTTGACCCCAAATGGGAAACCAAATGGGCAACTGAGTGCCAGCGCTCAAAAAATGGCAGGAACTTGCCACGAGAAGTCGGAGTATCGCGGAGTTCCGCTCAGCGACATGGCTGCGTCTTTTCTTTTGGACAAATAGCTTGGAATCAGCACAGAAATTAAACTGGGTCAAGTATTTCAAGACAGGCGCACATACAAATTACTGCCAGGCACACCATCTTCAGCGGATCCAATTTGGTATGCGCCAACAGGCATGCAGCATTCGAGAATGCCGTGGCTGAAATCTTGGGGCAGGACCAACCAGTTGCTTGAAAGAATCAATTACTTCTCTTCAAACCAGTTCTCCTTTTGATCTTCACAAGACACCAGTGTCCCGTTCGTCTCTCAAAACGGGCTCGGCAACTGGCTGGCTGCTGCCCAATTTTGCCCTCGGATTGGGTCCAGTCTCAAAAGCTTGGGAGAGCTCGCGGGCCGCAGGGCAAACAAGGCATGAGCTGCGCAATGAAACCTCGAGAGGCCCTCTGCCGCGCCAACCTGACAGCCGGTCGAAGAAAAAATCAAAGATGATGTCTCTCCATGCCAACTAGGCCGTCCAGTAGAGAGGTTACAATAAGGGTACCAACTTGTTTCTGTAGTCTATTTTAGTAGGGGAACCCTCCCCCCAAAAATGGTAACAGGGCACTGGGGGACCTAGCCAATTCTTACATTCCCCAGAGCAGAAAGAAGGACCTGCATTCCCCTGGGCTCGAGATAAAATTGAAAAGATTCCATAAGACATCCATCAAATCCCCTCTTCCTCTGGGTGTTTGGCTGATTCCCCGAACAGAATGTGGGAGTAGGAAAGAAAACACAAAGAAGGATCCCCTTTCAAATCTATCCGCCAGGTATTTGAATGACTCAAGGGGGGAGAAACATCCATGTCCTAGAAGTACTCCAACAGCAAAAACAAGCACATGCCATGTTTCAAGATGATGTTTCAAGAAGGGTTCTGAGCATGGCCTTTTGGACAAATAGATTGATTTCCCGGGTAGATGTGAAATAACACCAATCTCAAACAGTGGAACCCATCTATTAAGCACACTAAGCTAAAGGGACACCTATGGTTCTAAATGTCTACATGTTTAAACATGGCAAGCTTTCAAACGTCCAAGGGACTCGTCCTGGATCTTCAGGTGCCGCCCGGTTTTCACGAAATCCTCCATATACTCCTTAACAAAGTCCACCAACTTCCCCGCTGCGTCCTCTTTCTTCATGGCCTCGGCCACCTGTGGCATCAAAGCGTGGCGTGATAAGACTTCACGCGAACGACCCCTAGCGAGCTTCTGCACGGCTCAGTTGGCCCTCAGGTGACCTCATTATTTGCCCGGTTGGCATGGATACTTTCATGGATACTGGATATGACTGGCCGAGAAGACCGCTTTCTTTGGGCTTTGCATTCTGACCCTTGGGACAATCAAGGGGTTTTTTGTGACCCCCCGAACTGTTTTGAACATCAGTGAGGTCGACCAAAGAAAAAAACAGGGGGCAACCGGATACAGCCGGCTTGAATTCTACTTTGGACACAAATGCCCAGTGCACAAGCCAGAGTGGACGGTCTAAGCTCCTCTTTCCGAATTGTCCCACCCTGAAGGTCTCCAATGGAGGAAAGTCTTCTGTTTTCAATCGAGTTGTTTTTCTTCTCTTTTCACTCGGGGCCACAGCTTTAAAAGAGCTTTGTGGGACACCTGCAATCACCCCTCTGGTCATGTCCGATGCCGCGGTCGAAGATGCACTGGGTCAAACAGGTTTTGGTCGAATTCAAGAAGGTTTTGGAAGAGTGATTCACACCTTCTGAATACACAGGGCGTTTCCAGCCATTCAACATCAAAATTGCAAAGGGTGCCTGTCGCGCTTCTTTAAAGCTAAATGGCACGCACCAAAAAGGCGGATGCAAACCAAAAGCCTCAAACAGGAGTGTTTCTGACATCTTTCATCTTCTGACTCCGAATGCCCCAAACCGGGGTCGGGACAAAAGTCGGATGATTTGGTCTCTTTGGGTGAAGCTTCAACAAAATGTGTTTTCCTTTGGTTGCTCTTTCACTCCGTTCCCGAGCGGGTTGGCCAGACATAGTCCGCACGTTTTATTTACCACCAAGACGGTCTTCCCAAGAAGTTGAAAGTACATACACTCAGAGAGTGAGGCCCCTTTTTGGATGGTCGAAACAAATCCGACTAAGTTGGCGGCTTTCCTCCAAGAACTTGGCTTTCCCTTGGTCGCCCAACAAAAAAGACCGCCACCTCAAAACAACCAAACCTGTGGGTCGCCTCATCGCTTCGACACCTCCCTCCGTCCCGCCGGTTTTCCGGTTGCTTCCCCCACCTCCCGGGCGGTGCTTTGAATGCTCGTGGACTTGAGGCACTCCTCCATGGCGCTGGACAAGGCTTCAGGCTCCAACAGCTTCAGCGCAGCAAAGCCTTTGCCCAAGCCACGCGCGTTCACCAGCTCCGCGTAGAGGAACTGATCCTCAGGACGCAAGAGGAGTGCGGCTATGACCCTAGTATGGCCAATGTGACTTGGGGAAAGACGGGGGGTGTATTTGTTTGCAGGCCCCTACTAAACATGAAGAGAACCAAACTAAACTAAACACCTCAAACAAAATTTCAACAACAGTTGACGAGGAGTGTGGTGCTTGTTGAGGCTACATTTGCCTTGTTGAGTTGAAGGGAAGCCACAATGAAAACAGACCGATTTTTGTGCCGGTCCCCTCATTTAGGGCAAAGCATTCAACAACCTGAGTTTTTCAAACGAATCTAAGTCATAAATCCCTCGAATGAACCCTAGTATAATAATTTACTCTTCGTGATGGCGGGCGCCATTCTGGGCGACCAGCCCCAGAAAAGGAACTGATCCTCCGGCCAGGGTCAGAGAAACAACATCTTCTGAAGGATGAACATCTACACATTGTGGCATATGTGTAGTTTGCATATTTCTCACAAGCCGTGGGTGATAATGATATGATATGGATCATCCAGCTAGTTGGGGTATGTTGGGTAACTCCCATCCCTGACCAGGGTGAACCCATTGGCCGGGGTACATGAGCCTTCGGGAACCCTTGATTGAAGTCATGCAATGCTTGATTTCAGTGCAAAAAATCAACGTCTGGAGGAATGGAACACACACACACACACACGTCTACAGCCTAAGGCTTAGAAAGCTCCAACCACACAGCAGCCAAGGATTCTTTGCCCACGATCTTGCCAGGGGTCCATGGCTACTGGACACACGATCATGGGCTTGCCCGCGCGGGCGGCGGACGCCATTGTGCCGCAGCCCCCATGGTGCACGATGAGCGAGCACCGGGGGAAGAGTGTGCCGTGGGGCGCCCACTTCATGAACAAGACCTCGCTCCATATGCGCGAGACGTGCTTTTTTGGTTCAGTCCCAGGACCCGTTTTGTGGGGAATCTAGAGAGTCTCCGAAAGGGGTACAACCAGCAGGCCCTGGTAAACTTTAACGGGCAACCATACTTCCTAGTTTTCCCAAGTCTAGGTACTTAAGGGTGCATTGGCCACTCAAGAAGAAGCCACGCGTTTAAGTGTTTGCACATGTTTAAATCACATAGGTAGCTGTAACAACCTCCATTTTCACCCCAACATGGGTAGTTGGCCTTCATGAAGTGTAGCTGAGCAGAAAGCAAGCCTCCAGACACTAGACTAGGGCCGCTTGGGTATCTGCGCTTGAGACCCGGACGCAGCGAAAAAAGAGCTGTTTGTTTCCCTCTCCGTTTTCCAAAGTGGAAAAGAGCGTCCGCCTCTTTATTGACCCACTGTCGAGGCCCACAGCAGAACAAGCGAGCGCCCTCGCAGGGAAAAGACTAAAGGTGTAGACAAGCATCTGTATGGCATAACATTAATAACGCCTATATGTATATGTATATATATATATATATGTATGCACATACTGCAAGTGCTATGCAGTGGATAAATACCATAGTTGCCCTTGAACATGGCGGTTTCGCGGGGTGGCAGTGGAAACCCTAGACTTGAAACTCTGTGTGTTTGCCCAAGCTGCAATCCCCGCCCGTTGTCCCTCCCCATTCATCCCCCCGTCATGACGGTACATACACCCGTTCGTGCGGTCGCAACTTGACTTGCCCAGCTTGGTGTGCCATGTGAAGTCACGATTTTCACTTACACATCAAATAAATGTGAGTCATGAAGGTCTTCTACAAAGAAGGAGTCTACGGGGTTTATAGATGGGGAAGAGTCAACAGGGCGTAGACTCTCCCCTTCTTGGGGTATTTTGCGTGTGTGACCCATGTTGCGCCTTTTCTTTCCAAGGCCCCCCCCCCCCCACAAAAAACAACTTCCAAGGCCCCCCCCCTCACAAAAAAAGAGAGGAGGCGCACATAAAAACGGAGGCGCCTGGGTGTTGCTTCCCCTTTCCCCCCCAAGGCCTGGGTTTGGCAGAACTCCAGCAGCTCCGCGGCGTCCGGCGCATCCTCGAGCAGCTCGGCGCCTTGATAAATCGGCGATCGACAGCTCGGGAAGAAATGGAATGAACCTGGGGGCAACCTAAATTATAAACAATGGTTTAGAGAACTGCAACCTAAATTATAGAGAATGGTTGCCCCCTTCTAGGACCGGTTGGATGGTTGCCGTCGGGGGTGGCTCCATTGCTCATTCCAGCAAGAGCATGTACGTAGGCGGGGTAATGTTCACCTACGATTCGTAGTGAATATTGTGTGGGAGCCCCGGACTGATTAATCAATGGGTCCTAAATAAAGTTTTGGGGGGTTTGGGTCCCAAATACTTTGTTGGGTCCTGTTGTGGTGTGTTGTCAAAACTGCAAAACTATTTTTTTTTAAAGCTGGCCAGCCAGCAAGCAAGCCGCCCAGCCAGCCAGCCAGCCAGCCAGCCAGCCAGCCAGCCAGCCAGCCAGCCAGCCAGCCAGCCAGCCAGCCAGCCAGCCAGCCAGCCAGCCAGCCAGCTAGCCAGCCCAACCCCAGGTCCTTTCCACCTTTCAACTTTGCCAGCTTCCCAGCATCCAAGGGGGGTACACGGGAGACTTGAACCTCATCATCTCATGCAAACACTTGATATGGGTATGGCTCAAAATTAAAAAGCAGGGGTTACGCAGGTTTTGGTCCATGCGTCCACTTACCAGGGTTTCATTTTGGCACCGGTTTTTTGAGCCACAGCCATATTTGAGAGCAGTCCCCAAACAGAGGTTGTTGACCAACAAGCCTCCGAAAGCACCAGCTTCCCGTCCCAGCCTCAAAAAGAATCCCCTCAAACTCCCAAACCCAACCCGTTCTTGCCAAAGCAAGTTCTTTCTTGGGTGGTGCTCAAAATCCATCTGGAGTTCCCAGACCTCACGTTTTTGTTTAATCTCTTTGTTCAAAAAACACAGAATCAAGCCCACAAAACGGGTACCACGCGGGAGCCATGAATCTCATGCAAATAGAGTTTATTATTTTTTTTGGCTAGACCCCCTCCAAAAGCACCAGCTCCCCATCCCTGCCTTTTCAAAGCAGCCAATGCAGCCAAAGCAGCCAAGGCAATTTCAATTTTGATTTTGTAATATACTAAAATCAACTGCAAAGACTCTCCAACTCCAAACTTGCAGTTGCAATACTAAAGTCAATTGAAAGGATTCCCCCAACAAATGAAAATCTAAAGTAGTTTTCCCAATACTCAGTTTAGTCTTGGTCTACTTTTTCAACTGTGTTTGGGGGACCTCAGCTGTTTGGGGGGGAGAGGGGGGGTTATTAGTCAGAGGTGGTCATTAGAACACCAGCCGTTTGCTTTCTTCTTTTAATAAAATAGATGTAGGTGGTGAGAATGGCCCCCTCCGGCAGAACACCTGACGTTTTTTCTATATATGTATGGGAATGTTTGCGGGTTGACGGCCGTCTGGGTTACCATTTGCGTCCAAACCTTCCAGGATTCCATGAGAGTGCACATCAGGGCTTCCATGGGCTTGTTCGCCTGGAAAAACAAGTCCAGTACAGATTCCCTTGACAACCACAGAGCTTTTGTTCTTGACTTCAGCAAATGGACGCCGGCAGCGCGTCAGCGCCGACGACCCTCTTTTTTTCGGCGCCCAAGGCGCGCATCTCGGAGTGCGCCGTGAGCAGGATGCCTCTGCGCCGGGAGATACGCAGAGCGCGCAAGCACAGCAGCAGCATCCACTTGGAGCCTGGGAAGGAGCCAACGGAGGGCGGCCATGCCGGCTGGGAATTCAGCCGAGAATACCAGCCCGGAGGAGTCCAAAGGAAGAAGAAGAACCATTTCTTTTTGGGGGACCATTTTTAGTGGGGAGCCCACCGAACAAAATGGGAAAAAGGGGTGCTACTGAACAACTGGGTGGGTCTAAGATGGTTTCCACTACTCTACGCCCTCCGGGGGTTGATGATTGTCGCATACACGGCTAGTACCCACTCTATAGCAATGCAAGTGGACAGGCAGGTCTGTCCAAGAGAACATAGTGTTCACACCTTCCTGTCAGCCTCCATGATTGTGAAGGGGAGGATCACTACACAAAGGGTTGTCTACGGGTGGGTGTTTCTGGGAGGGGTCTATCTCCTGTTCAGCCCGGGCTTATTTGCCACAGCTAGGGATCGATCCCACCAGGGAAAAATTAGGCACATGCTACGCCCCCTTCCATACACGTCTGGGAGATGGTCCTTTGCTCATGAAAAAAACTGTTGGCCCCTTTTGCGGTGCACGTTGGCCAAGCTGGATATGTTGACCCATGGACAAGAAACTTTGATATCCTCTGAACCCCGCACCCCCTGGGGCCTGGTCCTTTTTTGGCAGTTGACTTTAACCTATGCACATGGGACCCAATCCCTGTCAGGTCCTTAATGGAGTTCGTCTCAAATGCCTATCCTAATGAGAGCTGAGCAAACTCATCAAAATGGAAGCCAAGAAGGCCCAAGCAAGATCTCTACCACTAAAATGGGTTTTGGAAAAGGACAAAGTCCAGAAACCTTAGAAAGCAAGTAGAGCCAATATGTTCGGAGCAGCTATTGCAGATCATAGATCCGAAGCCCATGTAGACAGGAGCAGCCCCTTTTGCCAGGAACGCCTCCATCTCTGCTGCTTGCTCCGTGCCAAAGTCTGCGCCATCCTGGTCCTTGCCGGGAAATCACATGCTCAAGACCTCCTGTGGATTGCTGTCGCTTCAATAGCTTGGTTGACGTTGGAAAGGAAGCAACAAAAATAAGTTTTAGCAGTTAAGTGGGGATTTCAACCACTAAACCACAATAAGCAAAAATGGGAAACATGTTTCCCAACAACAACCATGATAGGATCCTAAGTTGCATAGTTGTCTAAAAGTCCATATTCAGGGCCCTCCCGGCCGAACCAAGCCTAAGCCACTCCGCAATCCGCACCCCGGCACTTCGCAACCCGAGCAATCCAACCCTCAACCAACCGCAAACCAACCGCAAACCAACCCTGAAAACACAAACACTCTAAACCAGCCCAAACCCTAAACCACCCCGAGAAAAACAACCAAAAACGAAAACAACCCTGAACCCATCTTAAACCAACCCTGATCCAAACCACAACCAACCCTGCGCCACACCCAACGACAGGAGCACAGGGGGGCTACCTGTATGATCTATGACGGGGTGGGGACATATATGGGGGAGGAAACAGCAACGCTGTTGGATGGCAAAAGGGAAACTGCAAAGGAACCTCTCGTGTGGCTTGACACTTTCTTTGGATAGTTGAAGGTGGGCACTGCTTGCGTCTGAGTAAGAACCCGCTTCTTGGATCGGAAACCAGCCAGGCTTGCTCCCCCCCATTTCCGGTCACACCCATTTCGTCTGCAATTTGGGAGCTGCAAGAAATTAGTACTTGCACAACACGAACCATTTGGGTGTGTGTAACGATGCGGGAACACGGACATAGGTCCTTTTGGTTCCCTTCGAGCCAACCCCAAAGCAAGCACCCTCAAAAAAAGACACCCTGATATGCGACCTTGTGGGTGTGCCACACAGAATCACACACACACACAGAAACACATATTCCAGCAGTCTACAGCTAAGCATCCGAGCAATTCACTAAAGATCACAACCCGGAAATCAGGCAATCATAACTACAACACCTTCAAGGGTGAGCTCTTCCCCCCCTCCCCCCCCCCCCCGCAAAAAAACAAACAAACAAACAAATAAACCCAGAAACCAACAAACCAACAAGCCGACAAACCAACAAGCAAACCAACCAACCAACCAACCAAGACAGCAAGCAAGCAACCAACCAACCAAGCAAGCAAGCAACCAACCAAGCAAGCAACCAACCAAGCAAGCAAGGAGGCAAGCAGGCAAGCAAGCAGGCAACCAACCAAGCAAGCAAGCAGGCAAGCAGGCAAGCACGCAGGCAACCAACCAAGCAAGCAAGCAGGCAAGCAGGCAAGCAGGCAAGCAGCAGGCAAGCAAGCAACCAACCAACCAAGCAACCAACCAAGCAAGCAAGCAGGCAAGCAGGCAAGCAGGCAAGCAAGCAGGCAACCAACCAAGCAAGCAAGCAGGCAAGCAAGCAGGCAACCAACCAAGCAAGCAGCCAAGCAGGCAAGCAAGCAGGCAACCAAACAACAACAAGTCGATGGTTTTTGTCGTGGCGTATCCTCTGGTGGTATCATCAATGACCCAATCAGGCGCGCGTTGGCATTGAAGTCGGGTGGAAGCCTTGCAAGTTGAGGGCCAAGCTTGTAACAACCTCACAGCCCTACGGTATTGCTCAAATTAGCCCCTAGGTTCTCTGGTAGAGAGGTTAGAATAAGGGTACCCTTTTTTCTGTAGTCTATTTTGATAGGGGAACCCTCCCCCCAAAAAGGGAAAAAGGGCAGTACTGGGACCTAGGCCTCCCTTTGGTTGTTCTTGAAAGGTACAGGGACGCAGGGTCTGGCGCGTCACAAATTTTGCCCCCTGCCTTCCACAAAGCGCCTCGCTCTCCGCCACGAGGTTGCAGAAGCCGGCATCGCAGCTCAAGTGATCCAGGAGCTGCCTAGTTCCGAATGCCCAACTGGGCGCGTCGTTTTTGAGGATGACCTTTTCCTGTTTGGCGGGGGGCTTCTCGGATGACCTTTTGCTGTTTGGCAAGGGGGCTTCTACCTTTTTCTGTTTGGCAAGGGGTTTCTCTAGGTTCCCATCTTGACACATGAACCGCTGTGGAAGATCCAAACCCTTCTGTGGCAATTGCTGCTTCGTACCCCTGCCCAGAAGAGGTTTTTGGAGGGTCCTCTTTGGTCCTCCGTCCTCTCCTTGTGGCCAATAGGACTGCACGGAAAGTAACAAGAGAATACTATTTTCATTTTTTCTGGTGCTGGAGAGGGCATTCATTCGGGGGCTTTGTGTTCAGGGGGACTGGCCTTGAAGGGGGGACTGGTCCTGGTGAGCTTGTCAAATCTTCATGTTTTAAACACACAGTAGCAATAAATGTGCTGTTTGGAGATCTGCTAGGGAAATCATGGAATAAGTATTGGCAATAGCTTCTGCAATTCAAAATTGCACTTTGCACCTTTGTGGATTCTCTGGGGGGGCAGGTTAGCACTCATTGGAGAGTTGTTTGGGCATGAAACAGAGTCAATAACAGGTGACTAAATGACGAAATATTCCAAGTTCGTCTGAAACGCAAAATCCGCCGACCCTCTGCCTCCCGTCCCAGCCTCCTGCAGAGGGGACCGGCGTGGGATGCAACTGGAAGTGATTGGAATCAATGATAGTCCCCGGGGGACACGCCCAAACGCACAAAAAGTGGATTGGGAACTTGTAGTCAGCCAAAACCGGTCCTGGGACTGGTCCTGGGACCGGTCTCAGGACCGGTCCTAGGACCAGTCCTGGGACCGGTGCTGGGACTGGTCCCGGCCAGGACCGCTTTCAGGACTGAAGCCGCTCCCGGGATCGCAAACTGCTGTGGTGCCACCTCAAACCGCTCCAGACACCTTTCCGGACTGGCACCCGTGCAGGACACTGGACAGGGTCCCAGGTCCCAGTCACGAGAGGCACCGACGGCCCTGTTTCTAGGACCAGCTCAACGTGACTTGGGCACAAGCCGGCCGGTGCGGTTATTGACGGACGAGCTGCCATCTGTCTGACTTTTCCGTTAATCCTTGTGGTAGTCGAGGATCCCTGGATCTATTCTGCAAGAGAGCCAATACGTCGACTCAAACCGCGCCAGACTGGGACCAGCCTGTCCCGGTCCCTGCCGGCGACCGGTCCAGGGCAACTTCGGGAGGGCCAGTTTCAGGGCGACCCCGGGAGAGGCGACTGCTCCCGGGCCAACTCGAAGTGACTTGGGCGCAAGCCGGCCCAAGCGGTAATTAACGGACTAGCTGCCATATTTCTGACTTTTCCGTCAATCCTTGTTTGTGGTCGTAGAGGATCTTATAAGTGGTCCCTGGGTTTGCGGACGTGTTTCAGGACCGGTCCTTGTGACTTTTCCCTTAATGCGCCGAGGGTCGGCGGCAGCAGGCGGGAGCCTGGTTAATAGTTCGGGAACACATGCCTACCTCAAAAGTCCTCGCCACAGGTAAAACACACGTGCCAAACAGCCAGCTTTACGGCAACAATGAGAGAAAAGAACCGGGGAATGCAAGAAAGCACTCAGGCCCGTGAGTCTACTTGGTGGCCAGACATCACAAAGCCCTCATGAATCAGTGCTAGTTGACTGCTTGGCGATGTGTTCAATGTTTACACACTCGATTGCATGGTGGGTATCCGCCCCTTGCGCGCAAACATGTAAGATGGCCAAGGTGGGTGGCTGACCTGGACAGAAAGGATCAACTGGAGTCATGAATCAAAATACACGGGTGTGCGTTTTTTAAGGGACCCCCCCCCCCCCGCAATAAAAAAGAGAGGGCTTTCCTGACGTTTAACGCCACTAAACAAGGGGTACCCTCAAGAAAGACAGCCTCACAGTCAGAGTAAACCCAAAAGCGGTCGCAACTCGCAAAGTGAGCTGCTCGGAGGATGGATATACCTCGTCCTTGCCCGAGATCTTTTCGATGTGGGGGGCGTCGGTCTTGCGAGTCACAGCCGTAAGGATAGGCACCAGAATCTTCCACGCCAACTTGTTCACTACGCCCAGGTCGGGCAGTCCAAGTGGGGCCACATACCTCAGTGCACCAAATACCTCAAAAACCGCCGCTGGAAAGGGGAGATCCCATCCAGTTCCCATGGGGGAACACAAGGGAAAACACTTGTCGACTAGAGGTTTAAGCCATTGATTTCGGATTTAAAACGCCGCCCCAGACTTTGGGCCCCAAGATTGGTGATACGTTCAAAAAAGAAGGAACATCAAGGAAGACCCAAAATGCACAAAGTCCCACAAAAAAAAGGCAAGCCAAGTCCGGCGATGAGACCTGCTCGGTCTCATGCGCTGCAGAGCCACCATCACAACCTGCGCGGCAAAACAGATCTTCTGACTGGGCAAGAGCAAGCTACATCGGGGATGCGTAAAAAAAGATGTGGGAATGTAATGTAATGCGTGCAAGAAAAATGTAATGTGGGAAACATGTGGGAATGTAATGCGGGAATGTAATGTGTCAAAATGGTTGTCCCCTTTGTTTTCCCTTCAAACCAACCTGAACAAGGCACCAACTTAAAGCAATGGCGCACTGAAGGCTTAAACACCTTCTTGAAGAAGCCGCTGCAAGAGATGAAGGACATGAAGAAGGAGTGGAGTACGTGTAATAAATAAATGTGGACTAGGTCCTCCTGTAGAGAGGCTAGAATAAGGGTACCCGATTTGTTTTTGCCTATTTTAGTAAGGGAACCCTCTCCCCAAAAAGGATACCAGGGCACTACCGGGGGACCTAGTGGAGTAAGTACAAGAACCGTATGTGGAGTATGTAGTATGTACCAAGGACACACAGATGGTCATTCTCTTGAGTCAACGTTCAAGTGCAAATAATGGTTGCTCTCTTGAAATTGGAGAAGAACACCCAAACAGGCGTTCCCCCAGTGGAGATTGTTCCAAGACTTGCGGGGGGCTTCGGGTTTCCATGATGAAAAGGACACTCCCTTTGAGGCAGGTGATCTGGAAGAGCCCCCCCCAACAAAAAGTAAACAAGGGTGACATCCCCTGAACATACTGATGACTAGGATAACTTGGTCAAACAGCACCATAAAGGAGGCCCAAAAGGGCAAAAGGGCAAGGGCTAGCAAAAAATTGGCAACCAGAAAGTTCAGGGCCCCATTTCTCAAAGCGAACTGGAAAACCAAATCAGACTTGGGGATGCTTTTTTTGTTTTTTTTCAGGGTACCGTTTTGGGGTCTTTTTTTCTTTTTAAGGAAACCAGCAAAAAAGCGCCGCCTCGACTTTGAAAGACCTATTCTAACACACAAGTTCAAATTTTGTCCCTTGTGGTTTCCACCGGGACTTAACAACTGTCACCTAGCTAAGCCAGGGGCTGTCACTAATCTTTCCGGAATAGGGGCTAGGACGTGAAATGATCCACCTAGTGGGAGCTGATCAATCGCCTCGTCCCTTTTCACGGGTGGTCATCCTGAAACGATGTCTGCAAACAACCTCCCGTAACATGAGCCACTGAACATGAGCAGAACCCACCAATAAACATGGCCAAAACCATAAAGTCCACTTCCTCTGCGGGTGCACCGAGATTTTTTTAAAAAAATGCAGATCAACAACAAGGAAGCTCACTCATTGTTGTGGGGGTGAAAAGGTAAACCCCTCAGCAAATACCGCCAAAGCCAATGCTTATTCGAGGCGGCGCACCGGGAAACGGAGCGCGTTGGCGAAGGCCAAGTATTCCGACAGGCACACAGGGCTACACAAGACCTTGGAGCTGAAAAAAGACATTCGGCCAGTCATACCTTCCCAAAAACACAAAGGCACCTGAACCTGGAATTCATCTTGGCTCGGAACATGCTCCTTTTTTTTGAATCAAACAACCAACAAAGTCAGCTCAAGTAAGAAGGCACCCCTCTTGCCAGTCTCTATCCCGTTCTCTCTCTCTCTCTCGAGAAAAAAAAAGAACACTAACCCAAGCTCACCAGCGAACATCGGTGGTTTTACTCGGGGAAAAGTGTTGCTTTTACCTCAGGTGCCAGGTCCGGGGCAAAGTCGACTATGGCGTTGTAGGTGTTTTTGATGTTCTCTTCGCGATACGGTTGGTTGACCTCGTCGGCAATCCCCGCGATCTTGGCCACATCGTTGTGCGTCATGGCCTCAATGATCTGGGGATGTTCCAGGATCTGCCTTGGAATCAAAACCTAGCTCAGCGAATCCGACAACCACTTGAATGGCAAAAACAAACGACGTTTGGCATCAGTCTCTGGCTAGAATCCACACCCGTGTGATGCCAAAGGAATGTGCAGGTCCTCTACAATGGATCTCCCCAGACTCCGGAACGAGTACCCAAAACGGTTCTAAAGTAAATAAGCGGCTTTTGTGAGAGGGTTTTTGATGTCCGGTTTGGGAACACCGCGCTCCCATTTGATGGGACCATTGCAAGGCAAAGTGCCATTGGCTGGAAACCGAAGCAATGCAGAGAGGCGTAGTATTTGCGATTCGATCAAACACCTCTCAAACAATCAAAACAAAAACAACCAAACATCAATTAGTGTTTTGCACAATAAGAGGCGTCTGTTTTATACTGGGTTTGCACGTGTTTACTTTTCAATCCAGTCAAAAGGGATTCGCATTTTGGCCATCCTTCAAAATGTTCAAGAATACCCTGCTGAAAACCAACATTCACACGGGGTTCCAACGAAGGAACATTTTGGGTGCTTCGCCAAAAACCAACAAATGGGGTGTTGCTCATTGGGAAACCCTCCAGATGGTCGGTTTCATTTTGCTTTCCCATTTCAACCATCCAAGGGCCTCCCTCTGTGGGACTACATTTATCTGGTTGACTTGTAACAAAAAAAACAGTCGAGCAAAACAGTCTCTCCGATGGGAACCTTTTCATGTGTCGGTCGTAAGCATTTGTTTTGCTTGCAGGGAGAGCCGACGGAAATCCATGAAGCGAAAGGACATTGAAATCAACAGGAAACCCACGAGACACCCCATGAGAGCAGAGAAAGCCCGGCAAGAATCAAGGGAGAACCAACAAGAAACGAACAGGCAAACCATGAAGTAGGAAGAACACTAGGAAACATCAGGAAACCGAATGGATACCCCTAGTTTCGGGGAAACAATCCCCATGAAAGCAGGGAAAGCACACTGAAACCAACCGGAAACCCTGTTGGACACCTAACCCCACGCACGGAGCTACCGCTGGGCTGCTGGTGGCTCAGCCTGGTCCTCATGAAGGGGACTTTGAAGTGGTCGGCGAGACTCTTGGCGTCCCCAGGCCCGCACAAGAGCACCTGAAACCCTGCCTTCTGCAAAGCCATGCCCCCGGCGATGTAGGGCTGCCTCACTGCACCCATTGGCCCAAGCTTCCCAGCAGAGCGTAAAGGCCGAGTTGTGAGTGAAGCCCCTCTAGTTGTTGTGAGACATTTAGAGTGTCCCCCTAGTTTTCTCCCTTCGAACAATGGACTGGACATTTCGACCGAACTTCACAAGAAAGTCCTTTAGTTCCCTTCCTGAGTGGATTGGTCGAACAAAAATCTGAACGTTTTATTTACCACAAAGAAGGTTCAAACTTGTTTTGCAAAAAACTAAAATGGTCTCGCCAACAGTTGTTGAAGTCCAGGAATTCAGGAAGTGGGGTAGCTTGTCGTCTTTTCCAAAGGGAAATCGGTGGAGCTCTAGACCCCCCCAAAAAATGGCGCCAGCAAGCTCAAGAAACGCCCGGAGCCCCCCCCCCCCCCAGTTTGGGGCATCAGGTCCAGCAGGGTCCAGATTGGCCTGGGTAAAAACTGCCAGCAAGGTCGACCTTGCGCCAGTGTAGAGGAACAACAACTCATTCCAAAAATGCATCACCTCTTATATATCGCATCTGGGTCCTCCAGTAGAGAGGGTAGAATAAGGGCAAGGACCTCTTTTTTTCCTTCTGTAGTCTATTTTAGTAGGGGGGTTGCCTCCCAACCAAAAAAGGGGAGAGAAAGGGCACCTAGCTGGGGGACCGAGGCATGATTCCCTTTCTCTTGGGCCGGTGCATATCCCCGCGGGTGCCATTGGTTGCAATGAGGATCTTGGCCATGGCGACGGTCGGCACACGCCGCTGGGGAACGAATGCACAGAGCCACTGAGCAGTCCAAGCCGGGTTTATGATTTAGGGCTTAGGGCTTAGGGTGTAGGGTTCAGGGTTTATGGTTTAGGGTTCAGGGTTTAGGGTTCAGGGGTTTAGGGTTTAGGGTTCAGGGCGATCGTCCTCCTAGCGTATGAAGGACGAACTCCTGCGCCACCTAATCAACCCTGGAATGATACTTTAGAGGGAGCCTTACTTACAACCCTCAAGCCCAACTTGTGGGAGTCTACTCACAAGGATTTATCGAAGGTGGGGCCCTGTCAGACATGGAAGGAGAGTCCCGTTTTACACCCCCGCGGCCCCCTTTCGATCACTTTGACCTTTCGGTTTGTGGCTCTCTCACTGTCAGCCCCCCCAGCGGTTGTAACGCGCCCCTTGCCCCATTTGCTCTCACCTCTGCGTGTTAATTAGAGCTCTGGCAAGCTTACGGGTTCCTTCCAGGATTGCATTCAGCTTAGTCGTTTGCTGCTGGGCAACTGCTGCATCTTTACGGTCTTCATGGGAAGCTTCCTCCCTCCCATACTCCCAGAACCAAGGACTATTGGGAGTGAGGAAGTGACATGAGAGAGGCGTTAGAGTGGCATGAGTGGTGTGGGAGTTGACTCGAGTCAAAGCCAACGCCTGTTGTAGAATCACAAGAACGACACCTTTCTGTGCATGGCAACGGAGTCTCAACACAAACATGACCTCGAACTCCAAAAGAGGGTCGGGTCCACCAAAAAGACTTCTCCCAAATGTGGTGTCGGCTTGCTGGGTTCCCCTTTGTGAGCCATGCACACACCAGGAAGGAATCCCCAAGGGGACCATCAGTGAGCGGTCTCGTCTGTGCCAAGCCAAAGCTGTGTTTTGACCTCGGTCATCCAGAAAGGAAAAGGACATCGTCTACCACTTTGGGCCACCCGACTGCAAGCCACAGCCGTGAAACATGCAACGTGTCCAAAGAAAACCCGCCAGGGGTTGCCAAAACACAGTGTCACTCCCGTGTAAGCCCGCCCATGCAGGCACGAAGTGCTTTGAGACCCCCCCAAAACTATTTACCAAGACTTCACACCAGGAAGGGAATGCGGGCTGCCGCGAAAGCCAATTCGGGAAAACCGCAGCTTGTCTCTCCAATTCCTTTTGACCATGTAGGGGAGGGTCTGTCTCCAACCAACCTTTCGCTTCCACAAAGGCCAACATGTAAATACAACACACAATACATACCCGTATGTATGTATATATATGAGGAGCGGACGAAACACTTTACTTGGCCCTAGTACTTTTTTAAACGTTATCGTTTTTGGAGAGACCTTATCGTTTTACAGTGTTTTCGAACTTTTGGCAAGTCCGGCTCGAAAATCGCAACTTTGTAGTACAAGTCTAGTACGCGCAGTACACTTCCGTAGCTCCAGCTCGAAAATCGCAACTTTGTAGTACAAGTCTAGTACGCGAAGTACACTTCCGCAGCTCCAGCTCGAAAATCGCAACTTTGTAGTACAAGTCTAGTGCGCGAGGTACACTTCCGCAGCTCCAGCTCGAAAATCACAACTTTGTAGCACAAGTCTAGTACGCGAAGTACACTTCCGCAGCTCCAGCTCGAAAATCGCAACTTTGTAGTACAAGTCTAGTACGCGAAGGTTTCCGCAGCTCCAGCTCGAAAATCGCAACTTTGTAGTACAGGTCTAGTACGGGAAGTACACTTCCACAGCTCCAGCTCGAAAATCGCAACTTTGTAGTACAAGTTTAGGGCGCGAAGTACACTTCCGCAGCTCCAGCTCGAAAATCGCAACTCTAGTAGTACAAGTCTAGTACGCGAAGTACACTTCCGCAGCTACAGCTCGAAAATCGCAACTTTGTCGCACAAGTCTAGTACGCGAAGTACACTTCCGCAGCTCCAGCTCGAAAATCGCAACTTTGTAGTACAAGTCTAGTGCGCGAAGTGCACTTCCGCAGCTCCAGCTCGAAAATTGCAACTTTGTAGTACAAGTCTGGTACGCGAAGTGCACTTCCGCAGCTCCAGCTCGAAATTCGCAACTTTAGTAGTACAAGTCTAATACGCAAAGTACACTTCCGCAGCTCCAGCTCGAAAATTGTACAAGTTGTACAAGTCTAGCACGCGAAGTCCGTTACGCGAAGTACACTTCCGCAGCTCCAGCAAAAAAATCGCAACTTTGTAGTACAAGTCTAGTACGCGAAGTACACTTCCGCAGCTCCAGCTCGAAAATCGCAACTTTGTAGTACAAGTCTAGTACGCGAAGTACACTTCCGCATCTCCAGCTCGAAAATCGCAACTTTGCAGCACAAGTCTAGTACGCGAAGTACACTTCCGCAGCTCCAGCTCAAAAATCGCAACTTTGTAGTACAAGTCTAGTACGCGAAGTACACTTCCGCAGCTCCAGCTCGAAAATCGCAACTTTGTAGCACAAGCCTAGTATGTGAAGTACACTTCCGCAGCTCCAGCTCGAAAATCGCAACTTTGCAGTACAAGTCTAGTACGCGAAGTACACTTCCGCAGCTCCAGCTCGAAAATCGCAACTTTGTAGTACAAGTCTAGTACGCGAAGTGCACTTCCGCAGCTCCAGCTCGAAAATCGCAACTTTAGTAGTACAAGTCTAGTACGCGAAGTACACTTCCGCATCTCCAGCTCGAAAATCGCAACTTTGTAGTACAAGTCAAGTGCGCGAAATACACTTCCGCAGCTCCAGCTCAAAAATCGCAACTTCTCAGTACAAGTGTCGTATTTACGAAGCACACCTTGGCAGCTCCAGCTCGAAAGTGGCGACTCGCCTTCTCGTTTTACGGTGGCCACGCAAGGGTCCCACCCTAACTAAGTTGCAACTGCAGGGGTTATTATAGAGCCGTGTGTTAGCTAAGGGTTATCGTTTTTGGGGGAGACCTTATCGTTTTCCATGGTTTTGGCATGTGTTATGCAAAAACGTACCCCGCCTTGATGAAGTGGTCTTCGTGTGTTTTGTCCGTGGCTCATATAATATATATATATACACATATAAGTATATACGTATGCATATGCATCATATATGCACAATTCCCTCTATGTGTATTAATATGTTGTACAGATACTCTCACCAATCTTGTGGGTAAACTCAGCACGGCATACTTCCAGACTTCTAGCCCTGTCGCCCGAACTGGCCGGGCCACGCCTTTGAGCGCGCCCTGGCGAGCGGCTTCCAAGGGGCAGGATTTCTGGTCTGGGGGCCCCGAAGTGCTTGTCTCTTGTTGACCCCATATCAACCTCGAAATATGCATGGGGGTGGCTCCCCTCCAAAGATGATTCCCCACTAAACCCAGGGACACCGGCCTAATACACTGGGGCTGGCTAATAACCTGGGGTCAACGCTAAAGGGGTACAACCCCCGAGTTTCTGACTTTCACCTAGGTCCTCCAGATTTGTGAGGTTGGAATGAGGGTGCCAACTTCTTTTTTTTCTGTAGTCTATTTTAGTAGGGAACCCTCCCAACCAACAAGGGCGAGAGAGAGGGCACAATTGGGGGACCTAGTAACTGTCCAAGAAATCCATGGCCGGACGTTTTGACCTTACACACACAAACTGCTCCAGCCTCAGTGCACGAAGCCGCAGCCTGAGAGCTTTGCCAAGATGCGTCAAGTGAGGCAACCAAGCTTTCAGCTAGCCCTTTGGTGGTTTGGTGGTTTGGTGGTATGGTGGTATGGGATTTCAACCTCAGTTCCTTTTGAAACCAAGCGGGGAAAGGAACCTGATGTCCAAACCACCAAACCAAACCAGAATTCGGGATAAGGCGAATCTTGTTGACTGGTTGAAAACAGAACCTTCCTTGGATCACAACCTGCATCTCTCTCAAGGCCACTTTGAAACAGCTTGTTGCTTTCCTAGAGAATCCTCAACTTCCAGTTGGAAGCTTCGCAACCCTGGCAAAGCGGTCGTGCATCATGTTCCGAACTTCTTAAATGCATGTGGGATCGTGGCCCGAAACTTCCAAATTGGGTGGATTCCTTCTGGTTTCCGTTTCAACCCAAGGGACACTCAGTACTCACCCCCCCCCACCTATCTTAAAGACCTTTGTTATGGCAATCCAAGCAAAGTCGAAACCGGTGCAGCTTGTCATGACGCCCTTTTGAGGGGGTTTCCCAAATTTGGGTGTCATGGGAATTTCTGGGAGTTGCATGGCAGCAAGCCTTTCTGAATGGACTTCGATGGCCCCCAGTCATTCCAAACTAATCTTA